TAACCTAAATCTGGTTAAAAGGTTTAAAAAAATTGCTCTCTAACTACTATTAGCTTAGAAACGATTAAGACTGCAATGTATAAGATGATTTTCTTTCTTTCTTTCTTTAGTTTTTCGCGTGTGGTAAAACTTTATTTATTTTTTTTTTTAGGTGTGTTGGTCGCAGAAGTTATTTGTTCATCTATTTTTTTAATTTTTTTTTTTTTTTTTACTTTTAATTTTTGATCGTAACGATCGAATATATTCCCAACCTTTATATTTGATTATATTTGTTCTTCCTTAGGCTTTTGGTTTGTATTATTATTATATTAGTAAGGCGTTTAAATTCTATTTTTTGATTCATTATACGAAATAAATAACCAATGGGTGGTAATGGATCTCCCTAATTATCTCCCCTAACAATAAGGAAGATTTTCACAGGACTGTCAGACGATTGTTCAAAAAAAAGAAAGCATACATTTTCGCTATATTCTGGTTATTTTTTATCTATTTTTTATCTATTTTTTTGAACCTTTACAAGCTGTCCTGATAAGGTGATCAACGGCGACGCAGACGACAATATATTAAAAGCATCTTGCTCCGAATAATTAAGTTTTACGATATTTGGTAAATTAATTCTATTGATAATTCTATTAACTCGAATAAAATGATATATATAAAATTCTAAAAAATCAAATAAAAATCAAATAAAAATAAAATTATAGAGGAATAGTGTTGTATTCAGTTCTTTCATTTATGGATTTATAACAGTTTATATTTGTAAGCAGAAGATTTAATTTAAAAAAATTAAGTAATTGTGACGATAAATTTATTTAATAATATCAGTAATCAGTGTTGTCTCAACGTCAGCTTCGCAATATCAATATATTAAATTAAATAAATGCTAATTACTAATAATACTAATTAATTAAGACTACGCAAATACAAAAATATAAAATAAAAATAGAAATAGGGATTTAAAAATAAATGAATTTACAATGTTAAAAGCGATAATATCGTAAAGGAAGAAAGGAAGGGATTAAGATGTATGTATGCAATGTAAGAAGGCGGACCGTGGTATGTTGAGTTGTTAAGGATTTCCAACTCACATATACTTTATAAAAAAAAAAAATAATAATAATCAGTAGACTATTCAAAAATGATCTACAAATACTAGCTATAATTATCGAAAATTTACAAGCGAAAGTCGTGATCTTTATGGCGAAATTATATTAAATGTAACAATAGCATCATTAGCTGTCAACTAAAGCAGTTGCGCATCCTAGAACTGCACTAAGGTTATCTACAACACTAACTACAATGGAGTATGGATCAGGTAGTTGGTCTGGTGCCAAAAAATCCGTTATAACTCTATTAAATTCAGTTCCAGCTTTAATTGGACACCCTGCTCCGCCACAAATAAAACTACTATTTATTTCGCCTATGTATTTGTTAGTTTTAGGATCAGCAAAATGAGCAATAAGTTGGGTTGATTCAGTGATATCTTCATGTAAAGTTCCGGAAACCACAAGAACATTGGTTTGTCCGGGGATGATAGTTACATTAGCAATTTCTACGGAGATTAGGGGTGGTGATGGATATTTCTCTCTAGGAGGGGGACATGGACCAAATGGAATTGACCTTTTTTGAAGAATCGCATTGACCATTGAAAGCGTAGCTAATAAAATGAATACAAGAATAAAATTCAAACCTTGTTTCATGATTATTATTTCTTTGACAATATATTTTTACATTAATTGGGAGTTTTCTTCGTGAATGTAGTTATTAATTTTTTGAATTCAGAGTTAATTGAAAGCAGAGTCTTTTTATAAGGAGAAAAATAGGTCCTAACTCCAAATATTCAATTATTAATAATACATAAATTTGTTATAGATATACAAACAAAATTACAATGAAAGGTTACACGTTAATAAGAAAATTTTTCCCCTAATTGTGATTCACAGAAATTGTCATCATTTGTTTATTTTAAAACTTGTATATTACCATGTGTGGAGTCACCCTTTTCAAAAGATTTTCAATTTAATCTTATGATTATTGTTATTTAACAAAGATTAAATCTAATGTGGACCATTAATTATACTGTCCTCTTTCGGGGTGGCCAAAGCGATCTTCCCCAGTAACACCAACAAATTTTCACCCCGTGACCAATATTTACCGATCATTTCTAAAAATGGTAATTTTGTTTTGTTAAATAAAACTTACCATAAACGTTATCTAATCTCGAAACTGAGCACTTATGTATGTCTAATCTTTTACGCTCTACATGTTTACTTAGAATTCAAAAAGGAGTTTAGAATGCCGATTTTTGTTAAATCAATCATTTAGAAACGGTAATATAAAAGTCAAAATCTGTATATGTAAACCTACTTTTTATTGCCTAAGTAAACTTGTAGAGCGGATAAAAATACGTATAATATATAAGTTTAAAAGATATATGATATTTGCACCAGGCCAGGTTTTATCTTTATTTTTAGGGAAGATCGGCAAATTTTGGTCACGTGGGTGAAAATTTGTTGGTGTGCTGCAAAAGCCGGGTTCGATCACGCGAATCGCAAAAATAGGCAGAATTTTTTTTTCGGTGTGTTATTTCTTATTTTGTCACAAATTATTTGTCACCGGGACTATCACCTTAAGGCCAAAATATCGTGATTGAACCCGGCTTTAGCCATCCCAAAGCCAGGTTGATTCGTCGCTCGATTTACAAAAATTCTTTCCATATAAAAAAGCTTATAAATACAGATTACCATAATGGCAAACAAAAAAAAATGCAAGAATTGTATAGTAAAGTGTGTGTGGCTGGAAGCATAAAGTTTGTCATTAACGAAGAAAAAGAAGAGGATGAAAGAAAGTTGGAAGTGGATGAAAGATTTACTAGTAATCTGGCAACAATATTGGCAAGAAAAGAAGAAGTGGTAGCAGTAAGATTGAAACTTTCTACCGATAAATGTGCTGTTTATATTTCTAAAAATGGAAATTGGAGCGAAAACGATTATAAATATGTCAACAAAATCAAGAAATATTGTAAAAGTATATCTAACAATTCTCCCATGATGTTGAATGACGCACTTGAGAGAAGTGATGTTAATGATTTATTCAAAACTGTAAAGAGATACTGTTCTACTAAGTTTGAATCTAGACTTAAAAAACTTAAGGATGATATAGGGGGATCACAAAATCGACATATTTTATCTTTCAAGGAATTTGCTAATATTGAGGATGCAAATAAAGTACGTGGATATAAAATGTCTGGGATTTGTAGCAGGTATTATAAAACAAACAAAGACAATCCTGACATTCCGGAACGATTCCTAAGTCATCTCAAAAAGGTGGGATCTTACTATTCAGCTTTGGTCGATATCACAGCATGCGCCTGTAATGAAAAGTACAAAAAACAATTTTCTGGTTTTGTTGAAGCCCGTTATAGATTCTCAACCCATTTTTTCATGGGAGAGTGTTATTAAAAAGTCTGTTCATATTACCGAAGAGTATGAAAATTTAAGAAAAGGTGCTTGGATGATCATGTTATATTTGACAAATTAAAGGAGATATATGGGACAGATAACAACAATCCACATTTGGACGACGAAAAAATTAAACAACATTTATATTTACATGCAGAAATGAACATATTGAATATTATAAACCAAAGAGATAAAAGACCGGTGTTTATAGCGGTATCCAAGTATTGTTGTTACTTATGTGAATTACATATAAAATTTGCACGAACAAGATCTCCATCATAAGTTGTATCATAGATGGTTACTTCCAGATACAAAGGATGTCACCTTCAAAAACGATGCCCTGAAATATATGATAAAAGATCTTGATCGGATCATAAGGAAAGATTTACTAGATAAGCACGTTGATATTAGGGCGAGATCTGATAGTGAAGGAGAAAGTGAGAATTCCGATTATGCTGTACATGTTGATCATGCAAAAGTTGATGATTTGATGGAATCCGATGTTGACTAGATCTTTGTACTTTACCATATATTTTTTATAAATAAAGATGCTCAATTAACAATTTTTTATTAAAATTGTATGATCAATACATTTAAAAAGTTAATTATCAATGTTATTAAAGTAGTGGTCTCGAATCCTAATTCATACTGTAAATGAGAGCTATCTAATGCTAATTTCTGAAATAAATTAACTAACTCCTATCCACACGTTGTTCTGGAGTCGATTCTTTGACTACCTGTTCTGGGAGGGTTACAGGTTCAGCGCTAGTCATGGAGATCCTCCTCACAGTGAGTCAAGTCTGAAGTAACTGAGAATGAGTCTTTGGCAATCGTCTTATGCTGAACCTTCTTTTCCTGCCTCCTCTCTCTAATTTTGTCACCAATGCTTTTCTTATTTACCTCAACCAAGAAAGCATCCATCTTCATTTCCTCCGATGTTTTAGTGTCAACATTATTTCGCTGGTTAGATAAATAAATATTTGATACCGTTACCTCTGATAGTACTCTACAATCGCTTCCTTATCATTCTGTGGTTGTTCACCCACCACCAAGGAACTCTGTTCCAATATCGCGAGTCTAGCCTCAAGTTCCGTATTTTTTTTTGCTCTAGTTCCTCATCTCTAACATCACGCCTGGCATTCTCATCAATAATCTGCCTCAGTTTCACGATCTCAGCCTCAAGCTCGTAATTCTTAGCCACAAGTCTGGCGTATTCTTGCCTAAGTAAGTCAATCTCTTTTATAACACACTTTTATACAAGCATTCAAAATAAAATAATCACGTGTCCGTTCCGATTTGGAACGCAGATTTCTTTCGCCAAGAAAAAGAATTTTTATTAATACATGCAAAAATAAATACAATGTTCGGGACGTAGCCCGTGATACATGACGAATTTTCTACTCCTAAATTTTAATTCGTTTTCCCCTCAAGACTGCTCAATGATCTATGCTTTTTTACTACCTTCTCGTTACCTATGGTAACAGCTGAGTCCGACTTTTGTGCCTCCTCCAACAACCAAACGATATGGCCAAGAACTTTCTAAACCATAGTTTTCATATTCTCATTGTTATTTACAACGACCACTGGCTCCGATGGCTTAAAGCTTGGCCTATCTTGGTCATCTAACGTGCATTCCATGAAATAAAATTTTTCGGCATCAGTAGCTATCCCAAAAACTCTTCCAAGCATCTGATCCTCTTCTATTTCATCAGCCTTGCGCTTGCGATTCGATAAGGAGGACTCGAGCTGGACCGCGCACTGTGCGACTCCCTTTAACAAAATCATCTTTTTTTGACCTCCGTTTTTGCTATTCGACGCAAGTCAATCGCGAAATCGAGAGGACCGTGACCATTCGGACCAGAAATATTTTTTTGAGGGCGGATCTCAAACTTTCCCTTGAAATTGTTATACTCCAGCAAGCAGGTACGAATAGACGTATATTGATTTCGTGGCTTCGATTGAAAGTAAATTGATGGGGGTATTGTCGAGGCGGGACTTTAATTCTGCCATAAGTCCTGCCAACGATTCCTGGGATGGCTTAACGTTACCGCAAGAAAAAGTTGGGAACACCGCCATTGATGGATCCTCTGTTTCGCCACCAAGACCGTAAAGCTGACAAACTGAATTGAAAGCCTAACCCGAAAAAGCTTTCGAAGGTGTTTCTATGAACACGGTAAACTTGAGATTATTCTTTGATACGAACAGCTGGAGCATTTCACGAAGGTCTTGATCATTTAGAGGAGAGTATTTTCCGCGGTCATTTACTATGTTTAGCACCGCTCCATCATTTACAAGTGCCGGTGGTTTCTCCATTTACGTATATGCTCTTTGAGGCCATCGAGGGTCGCGTGTTCGATATTCACGGTCCACTTGAAACCCTTCGTTCGTTTAGGACTAACGACAACATCGAATGCTTTAATGCAACAACCGGGCTAGTAAAACTTTTTCGGGGCCGTCTCGGAAATTTCATTTACATTGGGTAAGGAAAAATTACATACCAACGGACTTGTTGAGTAATGCCTGCAATGAGGCAAGTTGTTCCCTTAATTCCAATACTTCGCTCGAAATGGTGGTGATCTCTGGCGGAGAGACTAAGACATGAATATGTTCCTCGGGAGGTGAGTTAGGGAAGTATTTCTTATTGCTAACAGCTCATCGCTGTCCTCGAGTAAGAGATTGCTTAAGGGATCGACATGATCGTCAGAGATTGGCACTTTCCTTAGCTTGAGTCTACAAAGTGAAAAGTTTTATTTTTTTTCGCCTTTATATTATTTTTTTTTTAAAACAAAATAAATAAAAATAAAATTATACAAATAGAAATCATCATGCAAATTAACTACTCCAGCATCACCAATAAAATTTCATTCACGTGATTTTTTTGCTGGTATTAAGTGCACCAGGGGGTCTAGGATTTTAACCTGGACCCTTCAAATTTGATTGGTTCATCATGATCCCAGCAACATTAATTAATTATTTGTTTACTGTTTACCATTACGCACGATAATAAATCTCTCTTTCACATCTTTTTCATGTTTT